TAAACTGACTAAATTCTCACAGGAAGTCAGCTGTATCACAAAACATGTGCCAGTTTCTGGCCGATAAACAGGTTGAAAGTAATCATTGGGTTGATGAAAGCAGCTAGATTACAAAGAAATTGGCAGGCATTATGTGAAACCCCAGTTCTTATAGCAGGCACTCTGTTACACTTCCACCTCGCATTTTTCATCTCATCTGTTCCTGTTTGTGCCTGCAATAATAACATTCTAGTCAAAAATCTCATATTCTGGTGTTTGCATAATTTCTCATGGATCCTCATAAAACCTTAACAGAGCCTGGCCTAGCAGTACGATGACAATTTGAGCATAATATCTAGTTTCTTTTTTTCTGTTTTACTACAGAAACATCCTGGCAAGAAATTCCTACAAGTAGAAGAAAAGAAAGGAACTGGGCCAAGGTATTTTTTTTTAAAAATATGGCACTATTGATAAAAATAGATCCACAATATGTCCATTAGCCTGCAAGCAGGTTCACCTTCAAGTCACACGCACAAGTGGCAAGGAGCAAAGCGATCCGGTGGGAAGGAGTCTGGTGAAGAGGCGCCAAGAAAGTGAGCCTGCCCTGATCTCTGTAATTTTTTTATTTCTGCTTCATCTGAGTGAAGTGAAATACCATTGGTCAAAAAGCAGGAAACGCGAGAGAACTGTCAATCTATTATGTTTGATGAAGAGTGATTAAATGCCCATGGAGTCGGTAATTTACCACACAATAAACAGATGAGTCATCCACATTTGGAGTCAGAGGAACTAGAGTTGAGTGCGCATATTACTGATGTGTTAACAAAGCTCCAGTCTATTTCTGGTTAAATTTCAAACTAAAGAGAGAGCAAGAAATAGCAGTTGAAAGTATGTAAATGAATCAAGATGTACATGTACTTGTCGTGTTGCCGACTGCATACAGGCAGAGTTAAATATTACAAACATATGTGATTGCAAGCCGGCAACGAAACAACACAAAGGCGTTCGTCCGTTTACCAGCATCGTCAAAGACCAGATTGCCAAAGCAAGATCACTTGGAATCAAGTGTGTGTGCTTAGTAGACATAAGCTTTGACAGTTTTTCTTCAGCCAAACTTTATAAACAACGGATATGGCGCCTACATGTTGTTATGAAAAAGATTTACAATTTTCCTGAGAAATCTGAGCTGCCAAAGTTCATACTTCCAGTGAAAATTAATTGACTTATTCTTTTCTGCGGTTTCGGGGGTGGAAATAAATAAATTGCAGAGATCAGAGCAGGCTCACTTTCTTGTTTCACCGCTCAATTTCGCACTCGTGCCTATGCCACACGCGCTTGTGCTCCATCGTGTGAGCCTACTCGCAGGCTATGTGTCCATGTGACTACTGTAACTAGCAATTTATCATTGGAGCAGTTTTCACTTGAGCTTCAAAAGTAATTTGCATTAGTTAGCTTTGGTTTTTCATTACTACGCTAATTGATTGGCTTAAAAAACTTGTGCTTCTTTGTTGTCCAATCAAAACCAAAACCAAACCAATTTTGAGTTGCTCACATACATTGTCACTATAATATCTCTGTCCTTTGTAATTGGCCAGTGTGATTACTTTGGTTTCAGTTTTAGAACACTCAATTGAAAACGGCTCTAAGAAAGGTTGATTATTTTCATAGGCATACGGGCACCTTCGGACTTGGGGAAGGGAGTGGCATTATTGTCCAAAAATGCAGTCAAATTGCAGTAAAAACAAAAACATTCACCATTCTCACGTCTAATGAAACTGTTATCATTCGAAAAAAGTTCTTTTGGAACCTCATTTATTCTATTTACCTTGATTGACAACCCGGTAAAATCAGAAACTTATAAAAGAAAAAGTTACTGTCCCTTAAAAAACTTCTAGAGAGGAGGTATCCCTAGTAGTAGTCCCTCTATCACCAGGAGTCCATGGTGGCATGAT